GAATCCATGCACAGAGACATGGGGCTTGTGCTTGCAATCAAACCACCTGTACCCTCCCAGCTTTTCCACAGGAGGCCATCTTAGTCACCCCTGAGCAAGCCTCATGCAGCAACCTCAGCAACCCTGCTCACACCTGAGCTTGCCTGTAGGCCATTTGTAGTTTTCTGGCTCAAATCAAGTTTATTTACTCAGGTGCATCTTTCACATCTTCAGTAAAAGCAAAGAAAGAAACAGAAACTGCAGAAGAAAGTTGGCAAGACAAAGCACAGAAAAATTTTAAGATATAGATAACCATAATCATTCAATGGCATAAGGCCAATTTGCAGACCTACATTTATTATTTAACATAGAATCACTCCTGCAAAGAGGGGTTAACTTTGAGAGAGCCAAAGCACACAATGATGTCCCTGCATGCAGCTGGAGTCACCAGCACTGCATAGCTGGAGGAACTCTGTGTGACCTTAAGGGCTGTACGTACAAGTCTTGCTACAAAACCCGTGAGAACTTTCCCTGCTATGATTATAAACTTTACTAAGTTAGACTCTCACAGAGTTATATAACCGTATGTGGTAGTTAATGAAGTGCTGGATGTAAGAAAAATAACTGCAATGTTATTTTGCCCCTGGTATGCTTTGCCTTATAAGGATTAAACCTACAGCTAATTCACTTGTGTTTTGTGATCTCTATCACACTGCAATAATAATACTTAGACTTTATAGCACTTCTCACTTATAAAACGTGCTTTACAAACATTATCTAATTAATAATCTTCACAACAGTCCTGTGACATAGGTATACAGGTCAAGTTAATGTTCTGTTTTAATAAACTACTAGCACTTCAGTAAATTGAAAAGTATAAAACACATTAAATTCACTTAAGAGAAACAAAAGTTAGTGAACAAATTGCAGTTCTCCCTGAACATTCTAGGTGGGCAATTCACATAGCAAACTGTCAGTGATCACTAGCTCTGAGGTCAGTCTCTATAACAAGCATTTTAATTAAGTAGTTGAGAGACTTTTTATTAGAATATAGAAGAACTATTTGGTTCACATTATTCATTCTGTCGGGGAAGATGAGGTTCTTTGATCAAGGCAACACTGCATAAAGTTTTATACAAAAAAGAAAACAGTAGTCCCCACCTTACAGTATTTTGGATGTAAGTATAAAATAAGGGATAAGTGACAGGGAATGAGAGGAAATAGTAAAGTAAGCACTAAATCTTTACAGCTCAAATTATATCTGCCTACAGAAACATATGCAGAGCCATTTTATTATATGCTTATCATCTCATTAGTACTCTGCAGTTAGCCCCATTTGATACACCTCAGGCTTCAGTTGCTTGTGATCAAAGTCAGAACAAGCGTTTGGGGAACACAGCACCAAATGGACTTAGTTACACAGTCACAAAATGAGTTTTCCACGAGGCCATAGTTGATTCAGCACATGGCATGGACATGCCTTTGGGATGTACCCATGCAGGTCAGGAGGGTACTACTTGATGAAGAGAAGCACTCTGCACACTGCCAAGTTCAGACCTATGTAGCAACTGAGGAATGCAGGGAGAAAGGGGAAGAAAAAAAAAAGGTTTCCTATTTAAAGTAGTTTAAAAGTTGCCTTGGGTTTGAAGCCTATACTGCTATCACAGGACAGACTATCAGATAAAGGATGAGAGTCTTAAAACCCAGTATTTTCACACATAGTTGTGCTCCTCGTGTGCTTCAGTGCCTGACTTAAAACCTGAGCTCTGGCTTGCTCCAAGTGCTGATTACCCACCAAAGGCAGCTGAAGTTAAAGGAAGTTGTGCATTCAGCACACTGCCTGATGTTAAGTGTTCTGAAAGAGGCTGAAGCAGGATGTCTCAGATTGGGTTCCCAAATTAGTAGGTACTTTCAACCTTGAATTGCTATGTCCCGATCTCCATCTGTCAAATGAGGACAATAATTCCTCCTCATTTCACCAGGGTGTTATGAAAATAACTTCATTAATGGTTTGTTAAGGACTATAGTGTTGAGTACTGTATTAAAATCTAGGAAGAAATTAATAATGCTGTCTCTGGAGCAAGTTTTGAAAAGCATGCAATTAAAAGAGCCTGAAGGCACACAGTGAAAAGGAAAAATTGTTGAGATATTTGAACTGCTTATTGAGTGCTTTATCCAGGGTGGATTTCACCCTGATTTTAAATTTCACTTTCATATTTGTAGATTATCAAGTTCCTAAGAATTCAGATTTATCCAGCTCTCCACAAATGCCAGAATCACACTGACAACTCCATGGCTCACTAAGTAACACTTAGAGTCACTGGACAGATCTCTGTCATCTAAACTCACAGAAAAAAAAGCAAACAATATAATCTTTCTCAAGAAGAACTAGTACTTCAAGGACAGATCGTGTTTTGACAGTAGATTTTTAGGCATTTCCAGTAACACAGGAGATAAAAAATTCAAGAAAAATTTCAGCCCAAATAATTAGTCTATTAAGATTCATATGTATATGTGCTAGAGATCATTTACACTAGTTTAAGTAAAAATTTTCAGGTAATCTTGAAGGAAACCAATATTCTCTGACCTACATAAAGTATACATGCATACACAGTTCTATTTTGAGCATGCACTGTCTTTACTAGCAAGTTGTCTTCAACACGAAAGGTCTTTTATTATTTGTTTTCATTACACACCCCCTAGCTGTTTCTTATACAGAAAGAATAATATACCTCAGCTTCCCTCAAATAATATACAGATGACTAATTACTGTGACACCCAGGAAAGATATGTCAGGTAAAGTAAATATTCTGGAAAGAATGAACCCTTGAGCTATTTCCACCAAATACTCTTACCTGGAACTGTCACAATGATTGTGTTACAACCAAAGAAAGAGCCTTTGATGACTGGAGTTTTCTGAATTAGTAAACTTCCTGATGAGTAGCAAAAAGCCTACTGCCACTTAAATCAGAAGCATTTAATAGAGACAACAGAATCAGGCTACTTTTCACAACTATGACATTGAGACTATCAAAGATGATTTTAATATGCAAGTGAGGCAGAACTAGAAAACAGTTATGGGCTGCTTTACAGTCATTTGTCCAATGTACTTAAATATTAGCAATGTAATGGCTGCTTTTTGGTTAACAACTTTATACTGGAATGGATTTATACAGGAATGAAGATAGAACTAGAACTGTAACTCCTCCATCTGCCAAGATTAAGCATCCCCATGCCCCTTCTAAATCCAGACTTTATGAAAACCAAGTGAGCAGAGCAGATCTCTCCTATGGGAAAGAGGAACAATCTCTCATCCTGAACCTTATCCACCAGAACTGAATTTAGTCCTGAACTAACTGAAAAACAGATCACCATAAAAGAAAAATGATATCAAGCAAAGCATGTCAGAAGGCAGAGAATCCACGTACATGGATGCAAAATCCTGAATCAGTGCTGGCCCGCTTCACAGCTTGTGCACAATACTATAATAAAATAGTGAGCACAGTACTTCAGACAAGCAGCTGCTAATGTCTTGAATGTATGCTTAAAACTCCTAGTTTTTCAGGGCAATAGTAAAAGAAAACAGCTTAACATAGTTTACTTTGCTTCTTGCTACAACTCCTTACAGTAGTTCCTCACCCACAGTGAACATCCATATGATAACAAGGAGGTATTTCCCTTTTCTAGATGTATTCCCATACACAGTAATTGTTTGGTCCTTACATGCATCTGGAACATACACCTATGGAATGCAGCTGGGAGATTCATATGCAGAAAAGCCTGGGCTAGAGCTGAAAAAAATAAACCCACTTCAAAGGAGAAACTTCAGTGGAGTCAAAAATTGGTTGGACAAGAAGAATGACAAGAGGAAGGCAAAAGATAACAGAAGCTGCAGTTTGCTATGTGACATTCATGAGAGGATTAACATACATAATTATAAGCAGCTAGTAATAGTGTCCTCCCAGGTGGACTGTGTCTGACTGATGTTAGTGAAAGTTCCTTTTAGCATAGGGTCCAGCATTAATTTCTGACAGTTCATTCTGACAGTAAGGTATTTTTAACCTATTAATATACTTCTGGCAAGAATAAGTGAGAGTTAGAGGAAAATCTCAAGCCATACTAGTGTGAATCAAAAGATTGTTGATAAACTACTAATATGAACAACTACTTACTTCTTCTGTACTCTTCTGCATTCCTCTGTAATACGTAGTTAAAATCACTTCATAAAATATCATATAAAAAAAATGCAAGCTACATCTTCTCAAGCAACTTATCTTATTAATCTCAAATTAGAGGAATATTCTCTTTCAAACAAGAACTAATCCATTCCCTTGTTTATACTGAAAATAAAGATAATACTTTTTCCATTTGTCCACAGCAGGAGACAACTGACTGGAGAAGATAGGAAAGAAGGCAATCACAGAAGAGAATTCACAGCCAAGAACCAAGGAAACAGGTTGAAATTTACCTGGCACACGATGCTGTTACTTATAGACCTCAAGTCCTTGTGTATTGATAAAAAGATTTGCGATAGAGAAATAAGTTGTTTTTCCATGTAACCTAATATAGTTTTCTGCTTTGGAACTAGTCATCAGAATTAGAATAACTTACAGTGTTTGAGAAAACACTGCACAGCTGTATCAGCCATTTTAAAAGCACAGAAATACTTAAGCTGAAAAAGAGACTTAAGATCATCAAGTCCAACCACCATATTATACTACTAAGTCCATCATTAAACCATATCTCAAAGAGCCTCAACTCACATGGCTCTTCATCACCTCCAGGGATACTTTCTCCACCATTACCTTCAACTGCCCATTTCACTGTCTAACCATCTTTTCTGAGAAGAAATTACTCCCAATATACAATCTCTATCCTCCCTGGTGAAACTTGAGCCATTTTATTAGAGTATTATTAGAGTATTCCTAAGTTTTGTTTTCTTGATCTCCATTTATTGATTTCACATCAATAAATTCATATTTATTCCAGTTTTTTCACAAGTAATCAGTCACGTGACTTACCAATGCTGTACTTCACATCTCAATTGTCTTCTATGAGAACACTGAAACAAAACAGAAGAAACAAAACAGACTTAACAAAAAAGATTTCGTAATAAAGCTTTTTCTTTTTCAATCACATATACAGTCAAAAACTTTCTAGTACAATCCTCCTGGCAGGGGGAAGGGACAACAAGGCCAAATTAATAATGAAAAACAAATGTCTAATCACCATAAAAAAATCCATTTCTTGTTCGATAATAGGCACATTCCTTCCATTTATAGTTCTCATACTATACAAATACATATACTCCGAGTCAATGAGGTATAGAAAGATAAGCTTCAGACACATTATGGACAATCAGCATAAACTAGAGCTCAGAACCCCTGTGCTGCTCTGAGCCCATGCAAACCATGAAAATTAAGGTTTATGATGTTCAGCCATTGTCTCAAGGAAAGCACATGCAGCTTTGATGAGATGATGTACATGAGGTACCATGAGTTTCTGCAGCAGAAGGTATGATCTACCAAGGAAAACAACTATCCTTCATAAAACATCTTCTGAAAGTGTGATTATCAGATCCAAAGTATACATTTTACAGAGCCCAAATATACCCACACTGCACATGCTGAAATAAGAAAGCCAACTGATTCTTACACAGAAGTATAGGACTCTGTTTACCACTGTTACATCAACATCAGATGAAGTTAATTAAAATGCTAAAAAATTTATTAAAAAAAATATCAAGGAACTACTAAAGACAGAACAGCATTTCTTGAATGTTCTGAAGCTCTGTAAGAGCAATTCTTCTCAGAGGTGCATAAATGAATGCTTGAGAGATGATGGCCAGCAAGTTGCAACAAGGGATATCAAAATCAAATATTCTTAATAAAGAAAGAAACTCACAGATAACAAAATGCTAATACACATCCCAGAGAAATTGTGCAAGTTCCTAACTCTGCAGATATTCAAAACAATAGCACCAGTCCTGAGTTACCTGATTTAATCTCAACCTGCTTTGAGCAGGGAACTAGCACTCAAGAGCACCTCACATCTTGCTGACCTGCCTTACAGCTCATAGTTTCTACTTCTAATGATCTAAAGAGAGCAAAACCCCCCTTCCCCTAAGAGGACTGGGAATTTTAAGGTGGAAGAACCTTGACCTTTCATATGGTGAACCTAGAATTAATTCTGGTTCAAAGCATATCAGTAAATAAGTAAAATAACCAACGTCCTGCTTACCAAGAAGCAAAATCACTTCTGACAGGTTCTAAGCAATAGCAAGCAAAGTACTCACAGGCAGGCCAATAGTCATATACAGAAAGAGCACTAGCACTCACTCAACTGGTGAAGGCTCCCTAGATAGCTCCTTCACAGGAAACAGCAGGTGCAAAAGATACTCACCCTTCAGTGGCTGGCCCTTATATGTGCCCAGGGTGCCTCCACCCTGAGTCCATCCCTTCTGGCCACATGGCAAACACAGGTGCCAACAATTTGTCTGTGCTCCCTGGGCCAGCCGCACCCCTTCACCAGCTGCTCAATCACCAGTTCAAGCTGTGATCTAACAGTTACCTACAACTGATTGATTATTTTTTTTTTTTACAAAGAAAGACGTTTCCAGTAAGAAATGCCCTTAACATAACTGCATCTTTCATCTGAGAAAGACTGTGAAGCAAGGATATCTCAAACTGAGCTACTTACAATGGTGGCTTCTTAAAAATCCTGTAAAGATGAGATGTGGCCCAGAATAAAGATGAAACTAAAGTTCTCTATTATGCTTATTAGATTGGTTTCTAAATGAAAGCACAGAGAAGATGGGGAGAAGGTCAGAGTGAAGGAGTGGGTGGGAATGTTAAGGCCAAAGCAGTGGTATGGTTTCGGACTTATTAAAACAATGGCTGATTCCTGAACAGTCGTGGCTAACTGTCGTATAGGTGGTTTACAGGAAATTGATAATTAATGCAAGAAAGGGAAAGATTAACTAAAAATTTACCAGAGAATCTGAGGACAACCTTCTTGAAACACTTGCTGTTAGGCATAGAAGGAAACAAAGTAATGAAAGAGTTTTTGAAAAATATGTGACACTGAGGTACAAGCTGTTCTCAGAAAGGGACTGGCCTGTGGTCTCAAAGGTGAAAATAAGAACCAGTTAAGATTTCACCTCCAAAATCACAGAACTAGATCCTGATAATAGGAGTTCAGTCAAAATAATAACTCTGTAAGGACCATATGGGGTCCTCTCTTGTATGGGTTTTATACTTCTTTCTACAAGCAGCTCCAGAGACTTTTAAACACAGAAATCAAGCTAAAATGATAACTTAATGATGAACTTAATAGCAGACTGAAATTCACAAAAAAGTTTTGAATACCAGATTACACTGACTAAAACACTAGGGTGCATGGCAGTAAAGATAAAATAGGAATGAATCAGAAATTACTTAAGGTTAATGAAGTATCTTTCTCTTCATTTCATTGTTACCTAACTTCCCTTGCAGAGTTTCAGAAACCAGTATTTCAAACTGTCCATATTTACAAGTAATCCCTCCAGAGTATTCTCAGTTTAAATAAATATCATTTATTTATTTACTGTTTGGGTTGTTCCTTCGGTGATGTGCCTGCCAATCTACTCCAGATGAACCATGTCAGTCTCAGTCTTCATTACCTCTCCTTCCCTCATCTCTCCTGAGTCTTATATAAATCTTTCTGGCTGAACTGTAGGCAGTCCATGTCATGGGGAACATTTTTCCCTTACATCTTAGAATCCTATAATTTATACCACAAAATTAAAACCAACATAAATTAGTAATTCAATCCCCACATTCCAATTTAATGAACTAGAGGCTTCATTGCATTATTGTTTTGTGCCACTGGACCAATCATTCCGTTTACAGATGGAATGTACTTCTTTTTTAATAAATAAATGAATAAAAAAATAAAGGTATCCTCAGTGCAATTATGTTGATGTCCCTCAGGAACCAGAATGCAATTATTTAAAATATTATTTCCTTAGATCACTCTCAAGAAAATAAGAAAAGAAATATGAAATTTGTGTCCTTTTAGCTTAAGCTCATTTTAAGAGCAGCAATAGTGATGCAGTTGGTCCCCAGTGGCAACTGAGAAGCACTTAGCCAGAAAATTGTTATTGGGTTACAGTTCTGGCTTCGTAATATGTGGCTAAAGATCATTTTAGACATCTATTGAGTGGCCCATTGTCAAAACTGGTATGACAAACAAGTGACAAAGTTATTCTATTTGGTCATTTTTGAGGGTTTTTTAGATCACAGAGGTAACTTGGGGCTGTATCAGCCTATGCAGTTTTGATTCAATTATAAAAATAAATCACAATAGGAATAATTCTAGCATAAATAATTGGACCCCTCAGGAGAAAAAAAAAATCTCTACAAACATGTGCATGTACTTTCAAGTGTTCCTGATATATAAGGAATTGTTAAGTGATATGGTGATCAGAAGTCAATTCCCATATTGAAGCCTACCTTTCAAACTAACTGGTCTTCTTCATTAAAATAAACAAGATGAAAAGGGCACCAAAGGACACTGTGAGATTTTTAACAATGTGCAAACTGAGACCACTCAGATACCACTAAAGTTCATACAGTCCTTTTAATTTTACTTTGCAGTCTTTTTCAAACAGACGATTTACTGGATAAGAATCCTGCCTTCTATATTTTACTGTGCTGGTAAAAATGAACAACTAATGTGAATGTATTTTGATGTACACGTGCAAACTTAAACAAGTGCAAAGAAGAAAGCAAAAATGAGGAACTTAATAAAAAACCTAACATGAGATTTATTTTCTTTTCATAAGCTCTTTATCATTTTCATTCACTGTCCATTACATGCTACATCTTTGCTCACATAATTACAAAATTAATATATTCAGCACCTATTTCATCCCTTTTTAATTTTGCTGAATATAAATACAGACATACTATGAGAAAAAACTAAAAACTTGGAAAGTGAAGAAACGGAACCAACCACTATGTATCACTGAGTGCTGCTAAACGCTTCTAATCCACACAGTGGCCCTCTGAGTAGAATTGCCACAGCAAAAACAGCTTTTGCTGGGGGTAACTCAATCTTTTCACAGAAGTGGCAACAGTGTGGGTAGACGGAGACCTTGGCCTTGTCTGTCTGTAGGCACTCATGCAGCTTGTAGCAGCAAAACAAAGCAGAAACATGGGTCTCACAACACTACTGGCTCTCAAATCTATTTTCAGAAAATGAAAACAATTTGGAGAGGGAGGAGATAAACTTGGCAGCTACAGTCCCAGACTTTTTATGTTGTTGTTTTTGTTGCTGTTGCTTTGCTTCTTTCTTGGGTTTTGGGTTTTTTTTTTTTTTTTTTTTTTTTTCCAATTTATCCTACAGATCAGAGCCACATTAGCTGAGAGAAGTGCATGAGTATGGTCATGATTCTATTGAAGATCATTGGATCGGCTGAAGATTTTTCCCTCGGACCTCTGCCACAAAGAAGAAATGAAAGTAGCAACAAATTTACAGTAAACAATGAAGATTCTAGTTTGAACTGAGAATTTGACAACATTTTAAGAGATCTATCCCTGGCCAGCAAACTGGCAGTTTTATTTCCTCCACAAAGATGTCCAAAAAGTAATTCTGTTCATCCTTGCAAGAAAAGAAAATATCAGATGAATTCCATTTAGTGGGGTCACGGAGACCAGATCAGTATTGCTCCTAACATATGGATCCTCACATTTAGGGTCAGAATTTAAAAGTCTGACTCTCAACACAAATTACTTAGTTCCCTGAATGATACCACTAGGTCATGGAGGACAGTGATGTTACACCAAAGGAAGAGAATCACTGATGGCTGTTTGCAACACAAGCATACTTTCAAATTTAATGCTTCCATACGAAAGGACACTATTTCTCTATACAAATAAAAAAAGATGCAAAATGTCATTTGATATGGCAGTTAGAGAGGAAAACTACTTTGTTTTCAAAAATCCTTCTTACTAAGAGTCAGTATCAAGCTTATTTCGCTGCACAAAAGCATAATCCTAAACTATACTGGTCTGTCCCTGA